CAGATTAGAAATAACGTAAGTACTTTGAATGGTAATAGATCTACAGTACTTTCCTCTGATTACTCACGTGCTACAACGCTCAGGGAACGGAAAAAAACACTTGCTTCACGCTGGCTAACTTTTAAAAATTAAACAGTTGCTCAGTGCTTCAGTTTGGCGCTGAAGAAGACAGCCAATCACTGCAGAGAATGGAACGGGTCACGTGCTGCTGCTGCTGCTGTTGCTCTGGAGGCGAGGAGGAGGCGCGACGTATGCACAAACGGAAGACATGTGTCCTGGACCGTCCGGGTCACGGGACATCATGTCATTTTGGTGGGGACTTTTTAGTCCTCACCAAATATTGGTGGGGACATGTCCCCATGGTCCCCACGCAAACCTACGCCCTTGTAATTGGTTCCATAATGTTTCTCAATCTCAATATTATAATAACTGGTAGAAAATCCAAGGACTCTCAAATATATTTTATTCCTCTTCTGTGTATTTAAGGAATATATAGGCGTTGCACTGTTTCTGATTCAGAAGTGTGTCTCTGGTGCCCCCTCACTCACCTGGCCCCTCACTCACCTGGCCCCTCACTCACCTGGCCCCTCACTCACCTGGCCCCTCACTCACCTGCCCCCTCACTCACCTGCCGGACCAAATGCAACGCCGCTAATTTAAAGAATTTTATATTTAGACTTCACTTCCTCTGCTGTGATTAATGTAAGAGAAGCGTGAAGAGAGATCAGAACATATTGAAATTCCAAGGGTGATATAAAGATCATATGTGTATATGTATATGTATATGTACTATACATATATATATATATATGTATGATTGATTGATTGTATTTTATTTCAAGCTTATAAACAGGAATCAATTATAGATTTAACAGCAATTACATATAATACATGATAGAAATTGTATATATATATATATATATATATATATATATATATATATACACACACAGAAGTGAAATATTAAACATTTATAATATATATATATATAAAAATCCATCCATTCATTTTCTGTGGGTGGCACCCACAGCACCAGCCCCTCACTGATCCTCCTGCAGGTGGTGAGTCCACAGGAGCTTTGATCTTTCAGCGGGGGCTTCAGGCAAAGTGGGGTTACGTGTCTTGCCCAAGGACACAACGACAGTAGACATTAATGGGAGTTGAGAAGTAGGTCTTGTGGTGGGCTCGAACCCATAACCTTCAGGCTCAAAGGTCAATGCTCTACCAACTGAGCCACTGTCGCGGCTTTATAGGATGTTATAAATCTTTGTATTAAAAACATGTCTTGGACATTTCCAAATAGCTGCAATTTTATTTATTTATATTTTGCAGCATTTAAAGCACTACATAGGTGTTCTTATTTGTATTAGACAACTGTTTCTGAGCTTTAGTGTCCATCATCATCATCTCTTTATTCAGACTCTATGTCCATATAACAGGACTAAAGAGGCACAGATCAAAAAATCTGCTCAGTTTTTTTTATTTTTTTTTTGTGATGCTGATAACTAACAAACACACGCAAACAAGCAAACCCTGGTGATTCCATCACCCTCTGGCGGAGGTTACTGTACTTCCCAGTCAGTGAATCAACAGCACCTATGTAATAGTTCTTTTGGTGGATTGTAACACACATACAAGGTAAAGTTTTATAAGTCATAAAAAATTAGGTACTTTTCCTACCATTGAAAACCGACTGAATCGAAACATGTAAGACCTCTGCCTCCATTACTTCTAAAATCAGACCTTGCAGAGCGTTGAAGCTGGTCATGATACAAGCTTTTGGCAGAGGCCAGCACTGAAGTTGCCTCTGAAATTGCTTCTCAGTGGGGTCTGTGTGGTCATCTTTGAGCTTTACAGGCGGCACTCGAACGCCCCATTGAGCCATTTACAGAACAGACAAAACCTCCTCAGTTTTGCAGCAGCGCTCAGAGGGAGCTGCGGATGATGGACCACATTCTGAACTTTTAACTTGGGCTTCCGGCACAGCTGTTGTTTATAGCAATGCATCCCTCGCTGTGGCCACCCTGCTAAGTCCTCACTTTCAAATCAGCCATATCTGAGGGAGGAGCATCACATGAAATAGACTCCATGTCCCAAAAATTTGGTCCCAAGCTAAATTAAATTGCCACCGTGACTTTCACCAACATTAAAGCTAAATCTATCCCCTTTTTACTTTTGCCACATTTACAGCATCCATCCATCCATCCATTTTCTACCCTTTAATCCATTTCTGGGTCAGGGGGGTGGCAGTCAGAGATGCCACCCAAGTCTCATAGCACCAGCCCCACATTTTACAGCATATGTCTGGCAAATATGCAAGTAGATCTTTTAACTGGCTAACAACTTTGTATTCATAATAATGCATTGTGTTTCTACCAAACAGAAAGAGTGCTGTAAATGTAAAACGTTTTGGGAAGAGCCTTGTGACTGTTGGACGCTCTGAACTGAAAGCTGATTGGTTGATTTCGTGTGGTCCTCTGTTTTATATAGCCGTTTAATAAAGACGTGACAGAGGCTAAAAAACGTGTGAAAATAGAACTACACTTTTTTTGAGAGTGAGGAACCAGTTGGATTTTAGGAGTAAAATATTTAGTGGTTAGAAAATTAGGCACATACAGTATGCCTTTGTTGTATAAGCTTCTTGAGAATACTCCACTGACTACATCTCATGAATTGATGGATTGTTGACATGTCAACAGTTTCAAAAGCCTTATTCCCCAGCACATCTTATGTGCATGTTACAAATAATGGTTTGGATAGTGCTAAAGTGCAAAACAATAACATTATCCAAGTGTCTTTGTTTCAGACCACATTTATTTTCACCATATTGAGCAAAGGGAGCACCACATCCTCAGTGGAAGGGAGTTTAGAGATTAATAGTGTCTATTTGTCTGTGTTACTATGTGGAAAAAGACCCTCAGAGGAGGCCTGGACCCTGATAGTGCTTAAAATGGGACGTCCCCCACACACAGATGTTCACAATCAACACTCCATTCATAACAAAGATAATGAAGACTGTTTGGACAAGAGGCAGAAGCAGCGCTGATTGATTTGTAGGATTCTCAAATGGCTGCTGGAAATATTTACTCTGGAGCAGTGGCATGAAGTCCATGTTATCTAATTAATCCAGTTTAGTGTCAGGGCTCTGGTGAGAGAGGAGCGGAGAGGAAGAGGCCGTGGGGAGATCAAAACAAACAATATTCCTCTCGAATATAATGCGTTTAAACGTGTTCAAAGAAACGTATTGTATAGCTTAATAAATCTCCTCAACAACCTTTTTTCTGTAACGCCTACACCACTCTGTAAAAAGAAACCCTCTGAATCTGTTTGGAGCACAAACAAATGTGTAGACTCTTTGTGATGCTGAGGCCCTTTAGTTTTGGCCCCTGATGACTCGTTTATCATATGTGTGACAATCTCTGCACAGAGATGGGTTGAACTCCAAAGTCCGCCTACATTAGGAAAGGACATATTTGACTGGAGGGGACCACGTTCACAGCTGAGGCAAATGTCTCTGGGAATGAGATTTAGGGGCTGGTAATAATACAAAGTTATAATCCCTATTTGTTCGGATATTTTTGGATTATACTTGTGAGTTTGGAGTTCAAACTGGGCCTGGTCCATGACCAGAAGGTTTGAGTCAACTAAGAGGGACACATTTCCAGGAGTTTATGGTTATATTTTATCAATTGGCGCACAAAGACTGGAAAATGTTAGTAAAATCCAGTTGCACCTGTGCACTGGCGTGTAATGATGAGATAATATGTTGTTCTGTTGAAACTGGAAAATCAGAAAGGAACAGATAATCTTTATTTGTTAAATCATTTGGAGAAATGCTTACATAAATCTATGTGCTGTTTCAGAAGGAGGATGGAAATAGGATTAACTCTGACAGAAGCCGAGCAGCAGAAGTTCAACAGTTAAAAGTGCACATAACCATGATTGAAACTGTACTCGCCTCAAGAATACATTTTTATTTTAATGTGTACAGAATATAGATATTTTACTTCAACATATTATTGTAAAATAAACATCTTGAATCCGATGTGATGTGTAATATTGATAAACACACTGGTAAAGACATCAGAACTTTAGCCTCTTTGTGAGCAAACATAGTGTTTGTGTTGTTGTGACATTTTCAGGGAAACAACTTTGAAACTTTGTAAGAATAACAGGTGAACCCTTTACAAATAAACCAGACAAAAATATACACCATGATTTGAATAATTCTCAAGACCTGCTTCTGTTTTACATTCTCAGAGGCAGTGTGAGTCACCGGAAAATGTTGATTGACATCCCTGACCAAAAGATGAAGCATTGATCTTACAACTTTACACTAATGTTCTGTTGTTGTTGTTGTTTTCTATGTCTGTGTCTGATCTGTCATCATTCAAATAAGTAAAACAAAATGCTGTGAACAGCACCATACAAGTTCTATAGACTCCTCTGTTTACTGTTAAAGACACATCGGTCATGTGCCACTGAACTTCAACTTCCATGGGAAAACTTTTTGGATACATTCTTTCCAACCTTACTCGTGGATAATCAGGATTCTTACTTTGCATGTTGCTCTTGGTCTCTTCACCTTTAACTAAAAGAGTCATGAGTATGTTTACAAAGCATGAGAAAGTAACAGAGGTATAAACCAGACTCTAATCAGCGTTGTTTTCACACTGTCTATGTGACCCTCTGAGCAGTGGAGCCTTGCGACACTTTCAAAGTCTAAATACATATACTCTGTGCTCTTAAATGCATCTTCCGGCCTTGTCTCAGCAGGATTTGAATGACGTGGTTACTTTTAGCCAAACAGACTTTTCACACCTCAGTCGCAGTGCACAGCTCACATACTCCTTGCTCAATCCAATGAAATCGTGCGAGGCGAAGGGTCCGGTTTGCCCTCGTGCTTTGTGAACGTACCCAGTTACGTGATGTCTAAACCTGTGTATTCTTTGATCGTAAACGTGTTGCAGCCGTTACTCTCCCAAAGTGAATGTCTCGTGTCAGAACGGGGTGAATAGGACCGGCCCGGATGTGGAGCACATGGAGCCGGGGGTCAGCAGGGCCTGGTGGGGGAGACCCGGACTCTGGAACAGCGCGGGGGCAGAGTTTGTGGTGGGACGCAGAGGGAACGGGTGCATTGTGGTCGCCATGGCAGCCGCGACCGAGATCTGCTGCTGGAGGAGACAGGACGTCAGGGGTTTGGTCAGATCCTGGCTCTTCCTCAGCGCCATTTGAATCTAGAGAGAAACGACAACACACTGAGGCAGGTTGGGGGCTAAAGTTGTGATCGGCATTTGTGTTTGTCTGCACTAAGGGTTATGTCAATCGAGGCACTAAACTGTGTGCAAACTTGAATGGTGTGACCTTTTCCCCTGCTTTTCCTTGGTATTTTTTGTATAATTAATCAGTTTGCGCCGATTTTAAGGGAGTGCTAATGACATGCATCGTTAAAACCCTTGATAATCATACCCCTGACTGATTGGAAGTACGATATCGAGTCATTGTGCCACATTTAGTCCAAGAAACGTCTATTTTTGTAACATCAGATGGTGAAAAAAAGAGTATTCTCCAATGTATTTTTGAGAATTTGTGAATGCAACATACAAAGACCTACTTCCGTTTAGCACTGAACATGAAATCCTGTTTGCTTGACACCTGTTATAACTTGTATGTTCGACAATAGTCTCTGCTTCTTGTTTTCCCGGGTTCAGAAGAGGACAGAAGATAAACCATGGAAAGTTATTTGGCCCAAGGATTTTAATCCACTGTTGGAGGAGACCATTGGGGATTGCATCTGTCTTAGCAAATATATGAAGGAATCTTGGTCCTGTTTCTAGTTCCCTGAAAAATGATGTGTGAAAGCACGTAAACAGACCTTCCTGACATCAGTGGACGGACAAATCTACATTTCTTTTACTGCGAAAGTCAAGGGATTCAGACTTCTTCAGGTTATGAATACAATTAGTTTGAGGGAAATGGATAATAGCTTCATGAAACATAAATAACTGAATCCCATTTGTAAGTAGTAGTAATAATAGTAGCATTAAAAGTAGTAGCAGCATTAGTAGAAGTAGAGTTTCTTGTCCAGGCTGAACTAAAAATCTCGTCTGGAAAAACTATACAGAATTGTGTTTTTAAAGTTATCATTACTATAACAACAGTCTTCATTTCTCTTCATTGTGTCACCCCTGAATACACCACAAAACCTCTACATTCAAGTTGCTTCTCAGAATCCTAATCAGACTTCTTTTTATTGCCATTGTAAGTAACAGGAAGTCACAAACTAGGAATTTGCTCTGGCGTATGCGGTGCAAAGAAATTGTAAGTGAAAGAAATAGATATAAAGGCATGGATAGAAAGTCTTCATAACATTTCTTCTATTCACAAGTAGTAAGAACGCACAATAGACAGGTCATGAAAAGTCATCCCCCATTGAGGCTTTCTTATTCCCAATAGCTCTTTGAATAGCAAATCATGTTTATTAGCCCAAAGCCAAAGTGAATTTCCGAACAGTAGGTCTTGACAAATCATGGAACAGACCATGGGGGGATTGCAGTGTGTTTTCGTAGGCAGGTGTGAGGTGAAAGATGGCAGCTTACTCACCGTCTGAAAGTTGTGCTGGTTCCTGTGGCCGGGAGGATACGGGCTGAACTTGGGTTTTCCAGGTTTCCCCGCGGCCCTGTCCTTATGCCTCCTGCTGCTGATGTGCTGAGTGGGCAGGACCGTAAAAACATTTCAATTCAGAACATCACATCTGCATAATTACGAGACGCATTTAGACAAGTTTAATCACAGCTTGTATTTGTTGTGATGTGAACGCTTCTATAGAGCTGTAAAAAAAAGAAAAAAGAAATATGCGTGTAGGCGTGTCCGGGAGATGTTTGCTGATTTGAGTGACGGGCACAAGCAGATGGAGCCGTGCACGAGGCGACAGAAAACGTGTGAATATTCATGAGCACCTGGTCAAAGTTAACTTTTAAACAGGGAGAGATGTATGCATTCTCATCACGGGTAGGGACATCATATTCGGAAAAAGCGGTCTGGCTTAGACTGGCTTTGAGCTCATTATCTTGAGGGATGTGCGATTTGAACTCGATGCGGCGACAGGTGCGAGATCTTTGCGATGTAATTTGGCATAAAATTGCGGCAGCTCTGATTTGAACACGCCGGTTCCTGGTGGATAGGGTGAGCACGGATGTATTAATGCTTTTGGATCAGCAGACTGTGAATGAATCAGCGCCAAGTCTGGTTGCTTGTTCCTCTCGTGTTGCCGCTGCTGTCCAAAATGTTCCGTAAACATGTCGAGAAATAGAAACAAGCTAGAATGCAATTATCACTTTAAGATGATGTTGTCCATGCGGTCTCTGTGTCACTGAGCAAGACATTGTGTAAGCCACGGCTCCACACAGTATAAGGCCGGTTGTGTCAGAATCTGCTGTAAGTTCGCTAACTTTGTGATTGGCAGAAATGTTGGATTCCAAAGGTGCTCCGTGTCACTCTTCTGGCACTGTCCGCTACCTGCTTGTTGCCAGTGAGATGCTGCTGTTTTGCTTGGCATCACACGTCTACATTATTCAAATAGAGATGTTTTATCTCCTCAAAAACCTGAATTCTTGCACAGACTTCACAGAGATGACTTATAAATTAGCATGGTAATGTCACTCACTATGAATCAGTAAGAGTAACAGGGGAAACAGCAATAGATGAACACAAGTGAGTGGAGAACCAGGCACCAGAGAAGTTGGGCAGTGAATATACAAAGACAAAAGTATAAACACATCCCAGTATTTTAAAAAAACAAACATTTGCAAGATGACTTTTGCTTGATATTTGAAGGGTGGATCTTTCGCCACATTAAAACCAAACTCCCTATTCGCTCACCTGTTTGAGCTGAGTTTCCGAGTTGACGTGCACATCGCAGATCTCACAGTGGAAAGTTTTGTTCTGCAGCCCGGTCGGAGCGTCTGTGGAGGAAGCTGCCAGCTTTGCCTTCACTCCCGACCTGGGGAAGGACTTGATGACTCCCTCCCCACTCCTGGCCTCCAGCATGGTCTTGTGCTTTGTGCCTTGAACGAGACCATAAGTCATTCATTCACAAGCCCTTAAACTTGTATTTTTCATTCATAAAAACACATACTGTAAGAGCTAGGAACGAATGACTTGGATTTGATTGCATAGTTCAATGTTTTCTGGTTTGAAAGTGAACACGTGCGTTATAAGCCAGTATAAATCTAATACCGCTGTTGTGGGCCTGGAGCTGAGAGGCAGAGTTGACGGCCACTTTACAGAGCGAGCAGTAAAGGAGACGCTTGGCTTTCTCCTCCTCTTCTTCTTCCTGGTCCTTTGCTTCGGGGCAAGGTGTGTGGTCAGCGGTGGTGATGTCTGAGGAGGCTGCATCCGACGAGGGAGCTGGGGATGTGGGCTCTGGGAGATAAAGGCAAAATGAGGCCAGATGTCATTTGATGGAATAAAATAAGCCAAAAACAATCATTTAAAACCAAAAACAAGTTGTAACTACTTTAGCTGTAGCTTTAAAATTGTCAATAGCCTTCCTCCTAAGTGTAAATCTATGAACTATAGAATTAAGAGTATACAGTATTATTAGATGACTTGGACCATGCGCGCGCTCTGATTGGCTGATTACCGGTCTGATATTTTCCCATCTCGGACCGTTACCATGACAATTGGTCCGAACAGCGCGTATCACATTTGATATCTTTCCTCGGACCGTTACCATGACAATCTGTCCGCAGCGCGTATCACACAAAACCAAGTTGGACATGAACATAATATCTCAAAAGCGTTGGTAAAGACACAGACGATAGTCATATAATAAAACATTTATTAACCTCGCTTGCTCGGTCTGTACGGAGAAATATCAGACCTTGGACTTTTTGCACAGACCTCGCCACGGCTCGGTCTGTACGTTAAGGCCGCGGTCTGATATTTCTCCGTACAGACCTCGCGCTCGGTTAATAAGCCGTTAATCTTCAAACTTCACTATATAAAAAGCAGCAGGGGATCAGACCAATATGCGCTTTAAAACTAAAATGGGATTGTGATGCAGCGATTAAGCATTAGCAGCACAAGAATGTGAGCAGAATAAATGTCTAAGTCATCATGGAAAATGTAATCGCACCTAATGGAACACAAGAATGTTCTGGAAATCAAAAATAATAATTAAAAAAATAAGGGAACCGTTACACAAAAAATAGAGATTTAAGTCAAGAGAAAGTATTTGCAACAAGTAAATATTTCCTTTGTTTTGTTTCTTGGTATTCAACGAAACCACTTACATCCTTTTTATATAAGCTTGAATAATAAAAAATAAAACACTCAAAACAAAACAGCTTCGGGCCAATTGTTGTCGCAGATTACTGGCACTTGTAAAAGACGGGAGAAGAGGAAATGGGTTTCTAGTGGCGTCAAATCACTCCATCAAAATTTTCCCTTTTCTGCACTTAAACTCAAATCTAGTCAAGTACATTACTTGTCAAGCATTTTCTTTTTTTTAAGCCAAGAAGCTTGCGGATATTGATTCTTTGGTCCAAATAACAATTCCCATCGATCTGTGTAAGTGCGGTTGGTTCTATTGATTTCTCCGCAGCTAACGACTGGAAAAGCACCACAGCGACTTGATCTCTGATTGAACGACCGTCCAGGACTGAAACCGTTCACTCCTTCCACATTAGAAAGATTGTGAATATTGAGGCTTGTCGACTGCTTGCCCTTTAGCAGAAGGTTTTCCGCGTTTTAATCATTGCCCACGCACTCGGAAAGCTTGGGGCAAACTTTTTCCCTCCTAATTGGTTTGAGGTCTTCCTCGGGAGAACTGCTGTTTTGGAATTGTGAGATTTTCACGTCGTAAAATAAAAATATAGACCTAATGAAATGATGAATGTTATGAATGTGTGATTAATTGTATAATTCATATTGAATTTCTGTAAATAACAAATAACAGAAATAAGGAGGAAAAAAACTGAACTACTCCTGGACTCGACCATGACAATAGTTTATGCCACGAAAGTGAAACTGGACAGAATCACACTTTTTTTTATTTTTGCTTAACCCACAACAAAGAACATGTTTCATTTAAGGACTTGGATTGGTGTCCAAGCGATTTTGAAGACAGAGAGGCATGTGTTGTAAAAGAAACATTGAAAAGTATTTACTGTGTTAACCTTCACAACATTCTTAGGGCAGGTGTTGGTCTGGTTCACTTAAACTGGACCAAGTCTGGTTTATATGTGGATGTGGATGTGGACCAGGGTCTGGTTCATTTGAGTCCAGTGAGAACACAGACTAAACTCTGAGACATACTTATGTGTGGCTCATGCTGGAGCATAAAAGCTTGGAGAATAAAAGCAACGTGTTTGATCTTCAGGAGGCTGTGAATGGGGTCAGTAAACAGAGAAGATAATGCTCCCAGCTTTAATCTCTCCACGCTGAAATGTAACGTAGCGGGAGGTCTCGACACTTCAAAGAGTTAAAAGTCATGACGAGGAAGAAGCAGGCCTGAGCTGTGTACGCGGGAGATGCCTCGGCTGTCACACACACACCTCCGGATGCTGCGTCGAAGCCGGAGGGTGACGGCGCTTGGGTTCGGGATGCGGTTTCCTTGGCGACGGGTTCAGATTTCCCGATCGAAGAGTCGGGGGTATCCAACGCTTTTATCCGCTTTGCGTGTCTGGTGCCACTGTAATGAGAAGACGCCGGGGCCTGTGAGCAAACGACAGGGAATACACGGAGGTACAGGATGAAGAGCGGTGACACTTTTGAAGAATGCAACACAACAATCTGAGCACGACTGCAGCGTGCGCCGGGACTCAGGCAGTTACACACAACACACACTGAAACATCACTTTTTAGAGAAGCGTGGCCTTGTATCATTTGGAGACAGTGTTTCAAATAAGAGTATAAGATTTGGCTGTTTCAACAAAGCAGTGATTAAAGTTTACTGAGCCTCAAGGAAATTACACACACATTATCTGATTATCAAGAATAACAATAAATGTAAAATAGGTTGTAGCTGGAAACATAACTTTAAAGGTCCAATTATATCATTATTATTTATTATTATTAGTTATTAGTCACTTGTTGTTAATACACTTTTTATTAACAGCATTTTGAAGAACCAGGATAAGAGCCAACTCAACATTTTATAAGGTTAAAATGTATGTAGTTAAATAGCAACATCATGAGAAAGAGTGAAACTTTAGTCTTAATTCTTGAGTCTTTGTCATGATAAAGTTGGAGATTTTAGACTTCCTTATCATGCTAAAGATAGAGATGTCATACTGGTTCTTTGTATGCTAGAGTTAGAGATTGTATTTTATTTTAGTGTAGTATAGAGTTATTATTAATTTATCTTGTGCTGTGTGCTCCCCATTCTGTAACTTGTAATGCAACACTGAAATTGTGTTGACAAATAAAGGATCTCTTCATCTTAAACCTCAGATATTAAAGGTACCTCACAAGTGTTCAGTATTGGGCGAGGCCGTAGTGCATGGTATTACTTTAATTATGCTCGTAAAAACAAAATCATTTGTGGACCTGCTCTTGTCATTTCCAGAACCAGTCAAACATGCACCAGGGAAAGTGTTTGGAAAGGTGTGTGTGTGTGTGTGTGTGTGTGTGTGTGTGTGTGTGTGTGTGTGTGTGTGTGTGTGTGTGTGTGTGTGTGTGTGTGTGTGTGTGTGTGTGTGTGTGTGTGTGTGTGTGCGCACTTGTTTTCAACTCCTGGTGGGTTCCATAACCTGAGATTCCACTCACGTCATGGGGACTGGTTTTACGTGGTGGGGCCCGAACACCGGACCCCACTGGTCCAAGCTTAATAATCAATGGGTAATGCTTTTCTAACGGTCCTTATGCAGTCTCTGTAAAAATATGGAAAGGACCCCTGGAGGTTTACTTTCCTGAAAAAAGTGTGTTATGTGTCGGAACCCTGGTGGTGGGTTGCGGGATATCAAGGAGGGGCACACTGGGGCAATTTCAGTCCAGCAGGCTGGAGCCAATCATGGAGCAGCACAACAGAGGAAATCAGGTGTCAGGCTAGAAAAAGGTGCAAGTGTGTGGTTCATTAGGCTGCAAGAAATCATGGAGGAGCACACTGAAGCGCACGCTTACAAACCACTGGTAAGTGCTGACTACAAGTCATGACTTCAAATTGTTATATAGAATGATTACAAATTATTTGTTGTTTGTGCAGCTTAGTCAAGAGTCCCTAATTGATGAAGTCGACTCAGATTCTGACGATTTAACTGTCAAGAAGAAACCTGTAAAAAAGTATGGAAAAAGAAAAATCAAAAACACTTTTCTTCAAGACTCGGAAAGTGACGAACCAAAGGCAAATAAGATTGTTATCATGCAGCTGCAAAAGAAGAAAAATGGGGGGCGAGTATACAGCAAGAGACACTTCTGCCTCTACTGTTCAATGTCCTGCCACAAAATGTCCCGTCATTTGACTAGAAAACATGGAAATGAAAGTGACGTAGCCAGAGCATTGGCTCTACCTGTGAAATCTAAAGCACGTAAACTTCAGTTTGATTTGATCAGGAATAGTGGAAACCGTGAGCACAATGTTGAGGTTTTAAAGGCCGGCATTGGAACTTTAGTCCCAGCTAAACAGCCAAATTGCCCAGTTAAATCCAGTGAGTTTTTGCACTGTATAGACTGTGGGGCATTGCTTAAGCGAAAGTCGCTGTGGAGGCATGTGGCCAGGTGCCGGCTTTCACAGAAAGATGCCCAGGCTAAACCAGGTAGAAGTAGGGTCCAGTCCCTCTGCTCCCTAGCCCAGCCTGTACCGGAGGGCATCAGCAAAAAGCTGTGGTCTTTAATTTCGGCAATGCATCAGGATGAGGTCACGGGTGTTGTCAAAGCAGAAAAGGGGATTCTGAGACTCGGAGAGCACCTGTACTTAAAACACGGGCATGATAAGACAAAGCATGATTACATTAGGCAGAAAATGAGAGAAGTCGGTAGGTTAATTAACGAAGCAAAAACCGCAGGGAAACTGAAAACAATTAAGGATTTCTTTATTCCTTCCAACTTTAACCATGTGATTGATGCAGTCAGGTCTGTGGCTGGATATGATGAGGAAACAAATCAATACAAGACTCCATCCTTGGCCCTCAAACTCGGCCATAGCCTCAGAAAGCAGATATTCTTGAATGTGACTCAAAAATGGAGCATTGTGTTGATGAACTATTTATTAAAAACCTCCAACGAAGCCGGCTGCTTTTTGAGAAGAGGTGGGACGTCTGTGTTTCTTCTGCTGCCCTACAGACCCTCCGGCAAGCCAAGTGGAACACTCCGGACCTGCTCCCTCTGACTGAGGACGTTAGAGCCATGCATGCACATATTGAGGTATGTCGACCTGAATATGTGCAAACCCTAATAAGTGAGCCAACGTCTAAGCATTGGTCTAAACTGGCAGTTTTGACTCTTTGTGAGGTCATCATTTTCAATCGAAGAAGGGAAGGTGAGGTTTCAAAGATGCCACTGACAGCCTTTACCTTAAGAAGTAAGACTGGGATCCATTCTGACATTGCTCTGGGACTGTCCCAACTTGAGAAAAAGCTGTGTCAGCATTTTCAACGCATTGAAATTAAAGGGAAAAGAAGTCGGAAAGTGCCGGTTCTTTTGACTCCTGAAATGATTGCTTCGATGGAGGTGCTGGTGGAGAACAGAAGGGCCTGTTCCATCTCTGACCATAACCCATACTTCTTTTCCCGCCCGGGCGCAGACACCCACATCAGGGGATCAGACTCCCTACGCCAGGTAGCCAAAGAATGTGGTGCGGTGCATCCAGAGATGCTATCCTCAACCAAACTTAGAAAGCACATAGCTACTATGTCTACAGTTCTCAATATGAAAGAGAATGAGATGGACATACTTGCCAACTTCCTCGGCCATGACATTCGCATCCACAGGCAATATTACAGACTACCAGAGGGGACACTGGAGCTGGCCAAAATCAGCAAAGTGTTGATGGCCATGGAGCAGGGAAGAGTGACGGAATTCGAAGGAAAGAGCCTCGACCAGATACAAATTGAGCCTGAAGGTAATTCTTGATATTATTAAAATATGTATGATTTTTTTCCCCTAAAGGCCACTTGTATTTTTATTTTCTGTGCGACAGGGAGAGCAGTAGAGATCCTCTCACAAACGGACGGGCTAAAAGAAACTTCAAGCGGAGAACCTTCAACCATTCATCCAGATGCACCCCATGGTAGTGGCAGTGCCCCTTCTGGTAAGTGTACCAGGTGGGGGATTACAGCCAGGCTGCTTGGTCCTAACCCTGGGAGTGTATATTGCTAATATATTTTTATTTCTCTCCCTAGAACGTGTAAGAAAGCCATGGTCTGCATCTGAGGTGAAGGCTGTGGAGAAGACCATGACACCTTTCATACAGACTGGAAAGGTCCCTGGGAAGTCTCACTGCCTGGCCTGCATTAATGCCTCACCAGATGACCTTAGACATCGGACATGGAGTGGCATTAAATTCTATGTCAAAAATAGAATCACTGCAATTCGAAAACAAAATCTAAAATAAAATTCCTTTAAAATAGTTGTTTGGTTTCTATTGACTGTTTTGTATTACTTAAAGTCTTGGTAAAAAAAGATTATGTCTATGGGTCCCATTCTGAACGGCCCTGTCAAAGGGACCCACCAGGTAACAAAAACGTGTATGTGTGTGTGTGTGTGTGTGACTGTGTGTGACTGTGTGAAGCCTCGCCCACCTCCAAGTTGAACTTCAGCCGACACACTCCGCAGGATCCGTGCCGCCTCTTCAGAGCTGAGCTGGGGCCGAGCAGGGCTTTGTGCACCGGCTCCATCTGAACAAGAAACAAACCAAGAAACAAAAAAGTGAAAAACATGGACACTTTTACCTGTTTGATCATTGTGCAGCAGTGCAAATAGGGACACACTGTACAGTTGTACAATAAGTAAGTAAGGCAAGTTTATTTGTATAGCACAATTCATGCACAAGGCAACTCAAAGTGCTGAACAAAACAAGAAAGCATTAAAATCATAAACAATCACAGCAGATTAAAAAGAAAGATAAAAATATAAAATCCCTCAGTTGTATGCACAGCTAAACAGAACTGTTTTTAACCTGGTTTTAAACATTGTCAGAGAGGAGGTCTGTCTCACATCTTCAGGAAGACTGTTCCAGATTTTAGCAGCATGAATCTGAAAAGCAGCCTCCCCATGTTTAGTTCTGACTCTGGGCACTAACAGGAGTCCAGTCCCTGTGCTCCTCAGAGTCCGGGCTGGTTCATATGGTACTAACATGTCACTAATATATTTTGGTGCGAGGCCATGGAGAGACTTGTACACAAGCAGAGCTGTTTTAAAGTCTATTCTCTGAGCCACAGGAAGCCAGTGCAGGGACCTGAGGACTGGACTAATGTGGTCGTACTTCCTGGTTCTTGTCAGGACTCGAGCTGCTGCATTTTGAATGTACTGCAGCTGTTTTACAGCCTGTTTGGAGAGACAGTAAGTAAGTAATGTTTGTTTTTATAGCGCATTTAACAGACCAAGGTCACCAAAGCGCTTTACAATGTTCATTGTTCCAGTCATTCCACACACTGGTGTATCAAAGCCCCCAACCAACACCATCCATTACAACACCACTCATTACATTCATACCTATTGTGCATGTTTTGAGTGGTAGGGGAAACCGGAGCACCCGGAGGAAACCTACGCAGACACAGGGAGAACATGCAAACACCACTCAGAAAGGCCCTGTTCCGACCGGGATTCGGACCCAGGACCTTCTTGCTGAGAAGCGAGAGTGCTATCCACTCAGCCACCGCGCCGCCCGATAGAAGAGAGTATAGAGGAGAGATCCAGCCAAACCAAGAACATGTATTACACTTGATAACACTTAATAATAGTTATATACATCAGACTTATGTACCGCTTTTGAAACACTCCACTACGTTTCATATGGCATTCTTCACCGTAGCCACAGCTGGGAGGGGCAGACTGACAAGACCGACCCCTTTGACCTCTTCAGGCAGAAATTCAGATTTATAAAGTTAAAATCTGCAAATGTGAGACAGGCTTCTACTCTGACTATGTTCAAATCCAGGTTCTGTTTAAACGTGCATAAACTGAAGGATTGTGTCTTAACTCTTTTTCATGTACAACTGTGAAGACTGTGAATATTCATGATTTTAATGCCTTGTGTCATTTTCATTTCTCTTTTGTTCTTCATTTTTGAGTAGCCTTGTGTATGAACTGTGCATACAAATACACTTGCCTTTCTCAATGTAAGCAATCAGTGTGAAGTTTGCTTTCCACAAAACCCCTTCTCATTTATGTACAAATCTATGCTATTTCGTTTGTTTTGTATCTTTTTTCCTGTACTGGGATTATTGCTCTTTTGACTTGCCTTGTGTATGCGCCGTGCCATACAAATAAACTTGCCTTGCTCAACTTAGGCCATTTGCAATTTCAAGTTTATAAATCTGCTTCCCCATCCAATTGTTTTCATTTCTGTACGAAAGCATGATATTTTGTTTGGTCAATTTGTGTTGCGCATGATCTGTAAAAAAATGTATTGATTTTTTGTTGTTGTTAAGAGACTGTGTGAGCAAAGTGAGGTTGTTTGTCAAAGTGACGAGCTGAAAAGAGAAGATAAAAATGCCTTCAGAGGTGAGAGGTGTGAGCTACATGTCAGAGTCCACAGTCCAGCAGAGACCCAGCGCTCGACCTGCACTAACACAAGAAAAGCTCCACTGTGGACTCGAGCCAAACAGACTGCACGGATTAACCACGGCGTCGTGGCTCTAAAGACGACTGAGACTGGGCCGTGTTTCACTCTGGTCAACAATAACAAGGTGATGCGCCTCCTCTTGCAATAACTCACTTCACTTCATCCTGCTGCATTTAACAGTCATTTCAACTGCAGAAAAGTGATACAAAAATAAGGAAAAAATTGCTCAAATTTGGAAAAATGTGTCCTAATTTGAGCTCAAGTTGACTGCCTTAAAACATGATTTACCAATGGGACAAAGCAAAATGATCTTGTTTTCTCTCTTAGAATTCTAAAATATAGCAACAGTTTTTAAAATAAGAGGTTTTAAGACAGTAAGAATCTACTCAAAATAACATAAAAAAGCTCAATTCAAGCAATTTTGACTTCATATTATATCATTTTTTGCAGTGTGTGAAGATTATTTCAAAGTATAGACCATAAGCCAAATCAGATTAGAGTCTTTGGTCTGAAATACTTCTTGTGTCTCGAAGGAGGAATGATGTGGGAATGTAGGGGATGTATTTTTGGTCGAAGCCAGATTGATTCCCGTCCGTCTTTATGTGGTAGGAAGAAGGGAGTCTTTAAGGTGCTTCTTTGGACAGAAAAAAACACTGGGCCTCATTCACGAACGGTTCTTAGGAACAGATTTGTACGTAAATCCTACTTACGCGGTTTTTACGAAGAAAGTGGCATTCACGAATATTTCTTGTAACCAGAATTTCTCTTGGGCAAGTACAAATCCTACGAGTCCTCAGGAGCACTCGTACGCATTCAGTGCCGACATGTTCACACGCCGGGGTTGTCCTCTTTGGTGAAGTTGAATAAAAATACAACATTCCAGTGATATGTCCGTCATATCGATGTATGTATTTATTTATTTGTAGTAATCTTTATTAGTAATCTTTATTTATATACCGCCTTTTTCACTGCAGATCTGGCCTACTTTTTAATTCATTTTGAAATGAAATGTGCCAACGCTTTATCAAATACATTGGAAATCTTGCCGTGTATTAGTGACCCCTTCCTATTTATAGGGGGCATTTCTTTATCCACGGGCCACAGAACAACGGGATATATACTGCTGCTGCAGGAGGTTACTGGGTCCGCGCTGAGTCTCTGCGCTGGTCTCTCCTATGGATCTATACGGGTCTGCACTGGTCTCTCCCATATACGGGTCTGCACTGGTCTCTCCCATATACGGGTCTGCACTGGTCTCTCCCATGGATCTATACTGGTCTGCACTGGTCTCTCCCATGGATCTAGACGGGTCTGCACTGGTCTCTCTCCATACGGGTCCGTGCTGCATGCTCCTGGATCCATACGGGTCCACGCTGGTCTCTCAAGTCTGGTCTATGCGGTCTATCTTCGGTCCGCGCTGGTCTCTGCGCACCGGTCTCTCCAGTCAGGTCACTCCAGTCTATGCGGTCTCTCCTATAGGTCCGCGCTGGTTTCTGTGTGCTGGTCACTCCAGTCTCTCCTCGGGTCTGCATTGGTCTCAGCGCTGGTCCGCGCTGGATCTCCTCCCAGGGTCCAAAATATTTTGAGATTAATCTCAAAACATTTTGAGATTCATCTTTAAAATAATACATAATATATTTTTAAATTAAGCTCATAACATTTTGAGATTAATCTCATCATATTCTTAGATTAATCTCATAATTTTGCTAGTTCGACTTTATTATCATAATATTTCGACTTTTAAGTCAACATTTTATAACTTTATTCTCAGTCTGGTAAAAGAAGTGTAACTCGTTGCTTTAGGCCTGTTGCTGTTTCCTCTGCTGTCTGCACACGGCCCTGCAGTCCCTTATATGGGCATTAGTGGGCGGTTACTTATGCTAAGTACCTATGCTAATGAAGCACCTGGCACGCGCGCTGTACTTACGAGGAAATGGGATTCATCAATCTGAGAGAACAGCTGCGAACAATTCAGCGGCTTACGAGTGCGTTGATGAATCCCACGTGGGGACTTCCTAGAAATCTACTTAAGGACAACTTGAGAAGAAAGTTGAGTAGTTTCTTACGAAGTTATTCGTGAATGAGGCCCACTGTCTTGTGTGTTTTGTGTATTGATGTCTACCAAAAGTATAAAAAAAAGCTATTCCGTCACAAATGTTTCTGTCGGATTAATAAAATGCTAATCCTTGAAAATATAGTTTTTGAATGTTTTAACGCGACGTGTTTGGGGTCGCGGGGCATCTGGAATGAGGACAAACACTTCAAACAACCTCAAGTGGATACAGGACGATGGGAAATCTGTTTGTCTTTATGGATCAATGATTTTCTAATCTGCATTTGGCAAATACGATTTTGAGAAGCCCTTTGAAACAACTGCTGATATTGATTTTATGTTGTGTTGATATAGAACCCTTTTATAATACGATGTAAGTTATTTCTCCCTATTAGTTAAAGTTTTGGCAACAGCAGCAAAGGTTAAAGATGATGTTTTTCTTTCAGCCCCGGGTCGACACGGTTTGCAGTTCAGAAGTGTGAGGAGTGCCAGGGGGACTTTGAGATGTTTTGCCCAAAATGTTTCCTGTGGCGTGGAGCGCATCCTGATGTGGCTGCAGTCTGCTTTATCACCAACACACAACTGCATTTACAGTAGTTCCAGTAAGTCGCCGTGGCACTAATCCTCAGTAATGAAAGGCTAAAGCGGAGCCAACATACAGCTGCTTTACAAATGTCTAAACGTTCTGTAGAAGTGTAACCAAAGAGAGTTTGGATCATAGCTTTCGATGGGATCAATTATTTCCATAGCTTTAGAGAAACTGTGTGGACCTTGGAGCATTAATGGTCTCTTCTACGATTGAGTATGTACATGTTATAAATGCCATCCAGGCAATTTTTATTTTGCGCGTTTATTCTGAATAGTTCCCAGTCACTTCCTTTTATTTTTGATCAATGGCATTTGTTCATGTACTTTTTTTTGTTTTCACGGTGCCACATTGTTGGTGGATAAAAGGGGAAAGAATAAACGTCGCACCAGGCGAGATCTCTGCGTTCTTGAGTGGTAATTCCAAGCGGGCCGCTACACATATACCAACAATATACAATGTAAATATGGAT